AAATGTTAACCCGTCGTCGTTCGAACGATGTCGAACTCTTTCTTTTGGCGACGGCCTTAGCCGTAAGGGTGTTATTTCGAGCTTGTCGAAATGTTAACCCGTCGTCGTTCAATCAAGGTCGAACTCTTCTTCTTTGGCGAAGGCCCCTGGCCTTAAAGGGTGTTATTTCGAAAGTATCAAAATATTAACCCGTCGTCATTCGATCAAGGTCGAATTCTTCTTTTTGGCGAAGGCCCTTGGCCTTAAAGGGTGTTATTTCAAACGTATCGAAATATTAACCCGTCGTCGTTCGATCAAGGCCGAACTCATCTTCTTTGGCGATGGCTCTTGGCCGTAAGGGTGATATTTCAGCTTGTCGAAATTTTAACCCGTCGTGGTTCGAACGATGTCGAACACTTTCCTTTGGCGACGGCCTTAGCCGTAAGGGTCTTTCGAGCTTGTCGAAATGTTAACCCGTCGTGGTTCGAGCGATGTCGAACTCTTCTCTTTGCCGACGGCCTTAGCCGTAAGGGTGTTATTTCGAGCTTGTCAAAATGTTAACCCGTCGTCGTTCGAAACGATGTCGAACTCTTTCTTTTGACGACGACCTTAGCTGTAAGGGTGTTATTTCGAGCTTGTCGAAATGTTAACTCGTCGTCGTTCGATCAAGGTCGAACTCTTCTTCTTTGGCGAAGGCCCCTGGCCTTAAAGGGTGTTATTTCGAACGTATCGAAATATTAACCCGTCGTCGTTTGATCGAGGTCGAACTATTCTTTTTGGCGAAGGCCCTTGTCCTTAAAGGGTGTTATTTCAAACGTGTCGAAATGTTAACCCGTCGTCGTTCGATCAAGGTCGAACTCTTCTTCTTTGGCGAAGGCCCCTGGCCTTAAAGGGTGTTATTTCGAACGTATCGAAATATTAACCCGTCGTCATTCGATCAAGGTCGAATTCTTCTTTTTGGCGAAGGCCCTTGGCCTTAAAGGGTGTTATTTCGAATTATCGAAATGTTAACTCGTCGTTCGATCGAGGTCGAATTCCTCTTCTTTGGCGAAGGCCCTTGGCCTTAAAGGTTGTTATTTCGAACTTGTCGAAATATTAACCCGTCGTCGTTCGATCAAGGTCGAACTCTTCTTCTTTTTTTTATGAAGGCCCTTGGTCGTAGGGGTGTTATTTCGATCTTGTCGAAATGTTAACCCGTCGTTGTTCGATCGAGGTCGAACTCTTCTTCTTTGGCGAAGGCCCTTGGCCTTAAAGGGTGTTATTTTGACTTATCGAAATGTTAACCCGTCGTTGTTCGATCAACGTCGAACTCTTCTTCTTTGGCGAAGGCCCTTGGCCTTAAAGGGTGTTATTTCGACTTATCGAAATGTTAACCCGACGCCGTTCGATCAAGGTCGAACTCTTCTTCTTTGGCGAAGGCTCTTCGCCTTAAAGGGTGTTATTTCGACGTATCGAAATATTAACCCGTCGTCGTTCGATCGAGGTCGAACTCTTCTTCTTTGGCGAAGGCCCTTGGCCTTAATGTCGACCTCCTCTTTTTTGGCGACGGCCCTTGGACGTAAGGGTCGAACCCCTCTTTTTTGGCAATGGCTCTTGGCCGTAGGGGGTTCCCTGGGGGAGTCCCTATTTACTTAATTTTGCTTGCCTTGGAGAATATGATGCGTTTCCTAGGGGAGTCCCAGTTTGCTTAATTTTGCTTGCGCTGGGGAATATGATGCATTTCCTGGGGGAGTCCCAGTTTGTTTAATTTTGCTTGTATTGGAGAATATGATGCATTTTCCGGGGGAGTCCCAGTTTGCTTATGCTTGCGCTGGGGAATATGATGCATTTCCTGGGGGAGTCCCAGTTTGTTTAATTTTGCTTGTATTGGAGAATATGATGCATTTCCCGTTCGTGTATCTGGGAGAATGCTCCTGCTTCTATTCCATTTAGAAAAATAGTTAGTTAAACCAAATGAAATCTTCGTTACCTCGATTTGATCGGTCGGCGAGTGGAGAGGAGTGACCACGTTCACTCCTCTGGTTATGCTTTTAGTGGCCGCTACCAGTTTGGCAAGGTCGTCTGCTTCGATATCCCGTGCTCGAAAGATTTGATCGAGCTGGCATTCACCGAACTTGGGTAACGGCTTGCGAATCTCGACGTGGTATTCTTGCAATATTTGTTTCTTGATTTGGAAAGTCTCTGTGACTTGATTGACAACGAACACCCCGAAATATATCCATGTTTGATTGTTTCAAAGTTGTAGAGTGGCCGCAGAACCAAACGCAACACAATCCGATGAGAAAGCCGCCAATCTTGGTGCCTTTTTAATAAACTTTTACCTGAAGAGGAAGAAGCAGCTTTAGGTGTGAAATGGTGTTCATGTCGGCCACTTCTCTCAAATATGGATAAGGGATAGAGATTGTGGCTTCTGTTGAATAATATTGGCCCTACTGCATTTCTTGGAGTTTTTAAAGGATAAGAAATTCTTGGTTTGGCATTGTAAGCATTGATCTTTGTGGATGTTGATGTTGAAATCCAAATTGGCAGTGAAATGGCTCCATCCATCTTCCGAAAATGTTAGTATAATTTGTTTATTTTAAAATGTACATTCCTGTAATTATGCAGAACATGTCATAGATATTGCAATGGACAAAAATGATGGCCCTTTAAACTTGGCGCGGGGTGTCAGTTAGACACCTTAACTTTGTGGAGGTAGATAGGACCTCAACTAAGACTTTTATTATTTCAGAGAAATCAAATCAAATAAGCAAAAGATTCTTGCTTTGTCTCGTTTATAGAGAACAATATTTAATAATGTAATATTATATTTGGAAAAATGGTTGGTTATTGGAAGTCGTGCTAGTGTTAGAATACTGTAGTAGGAGTACTTCTCCATTCCCTCCATTTACAGTAACAAGCATGGATAAAAGGGAGGAGAATAAATAAAAAATACGAATGATTAGGTTGAAGATATCACTCATCTGGGTTGAATATATTATCCATATATTTTTTAGAGATCTAGATAAAACTAGAATCTTAACTAGAAAATCCTCACAGACGGCGCCAAATTGTTTGACTCAAAAGATATTAAAACCCTTTGAACAAATCAATCAAAGATGAAGGGGTAAATCCTAGTTAAGGATAATTAACTCTAGATCCGAGATGAATAATACGAATTAAAAAACATAGCCGAATATAAATATTGACGGCGATTATGACCAGATCTAATAGCATAAAGAAAGATGCAGTAAGCAAAAATATGAATAAAGAAAAAGATTCACCCGATCTTCAGTGAGACGGATCTTCTTTCATTTATTAAAGATGAGTGATAGACCAATACAAGAACTTTATGATCCTTTTTTGGATCTGATGAAGGTATGGGATCGTAGATCCTCTCTTTTCTTTGGAGAGGTGTGTTTACATATTTTCTAGAAAGAGGGAGAGTGAGAGAGTCAGAGCCCCCCTTTTGGGAAGTCCTCTCTTCCTATTTATAAGGAATTTTCCTAGAAAAACCCTAAAAGAAAAGGTACAATTAGAGGGAATATTCAATAGAATATTCCTTTTGAGGATTCCAAAGGAGACTGGTTGTTTCGTCACTGCCCGACCTCGGCTTGTCCGACCTCGGCCTTATTGATGACGGTCCGACCTCGGCCTGTCCGACCTCGGCCTTATTGATGACGGTCCGACCTCGGCCTTATTGATGACGGTCTGACCTCGGCCTATCCGACCTCGGTCTTATATCTCCGCGTGCCAAATTTCTCTGATCTAATTTTGACCCATACAAATAGTTAGGGGTGTACATAGATTGGGTTGGTTCGGATTTTGCAATTATCAAACCAAACAAATTGTGTCGGGTTATTAAATCTAAAGACCAAACCAAACCAATAAAACTCGGGGTTTTCAATCTCGGTTTTTCTCGGGTTTTTCAGGTTTTTCTCGATAAAATATTCGTAGCACAAAACATACAACTTGTTCTCAAAATATTTCTTTAATCCTAGTAAGATACAACTATATCAGGTATTTTCCAAGAAAATAATACAAAATTTGAGATGTGTCGTACCATTATCCTAAAATATTCAACAATAGAGACCATAAAATTATGTAATATAAATATATATTGCTACTTAGAAAGCCATAATAAAAATAAACATAATCTAAAAGTACTAAGTCATGCTAAAATAAGTAAGACTAATAAGGGAGTATTAATTACATGACTAAATGCTAAAGAAAAATATAAATAGGTTATGCACTTTTATCTAAATTATTGCAAAACAAAAAATAGATATTCAATACATTGTCGTTCGTAGTATTGAATTGAATGTCTTTTGTTAGCATTAATATTGATTTGATTTTGGTTTTGGCTTTTGTTAGCATTATTTAAGTTACTAATATTAATGGCTATAAAACTTATTGGAACATTCAAAAGTTCTAAATCCAACCTTGAAATAATACCTTAGAAGATAAAATTATGAAAAAGTTTAAGAAATATTTATAAATTACATCACAATAAGTATATTTATATATTAAATATATCTAAAAAAATTATATATGTAATGTCGGGTTGGTTTGGTTTCGGTTTGACTTTCTTTAGTTAAAACCAAATCAAACCAATTATGGTCGGGTTCTTTTTCCAACACCAAACCAAATCAAACCAAACCATAGTCAGGTTTTTTTTCTCGGTTTGACTCAGATTATCGGGTTGGTGCGGTTTGTCGATTTCCTTTGTACACCCCTACTAATAGTATAATAGCGGGTGAACAATAGCAAATGCAGCTCCTAAAAAAGGGTACAAATAGATGAAAGAGCAGTACAAGGCATCTCGCGTTCACGCAGGGTCTGGGGAAGAGTTGCACCCCAAGGGGTGTGATGTAGACAGTCTACCCTAATGCAAGTATTAGTGGTTGTTTCCACGACTCGAACCCATGAACTATATATAGGTCACAAACAACCTTATCGTTCCTCCAAGGGTACAAATAGATGAAAGGCTGAAATTGGCCGGCGTGTGCGAATTATATAAAGATCAATATGATCAAATACGCTGATGGATCATCCTTGGTACGTGCATTAGTTATATATGATCTTTAAGGAAAGAAGCTGGAACTGGAAAAGAAACCAGAATAACATTACAAAAGCAACCTTATTCTTTTTTATTCATACATTAGGCTTAGCCTTAGAAATTGAAGTATTTCTATTTCTTGAGCTTGATAATCCCTTGCTTGATATATATATTCTAGAAGGAGGAACCATCAATGCATATCCATTCACCAACGAACATTTTGTTACAATTGAGATTCGGGTTGAAAGTAGTAAAAGCCTCGGGGGTCACACTGAAATTCTGAATAATGCTGAAGCATGTATCTCCAATATTTGCACCATAAATCTTACTGCATATCAGAGCTGAATTTTTCCCAGTTCCAGCTACACCCATCAAGAAATTATAATTATTGAAAAATAAAACATAAAATTAATACATCTGAAGTTTGGTTTGTGTGAAAATTATTTCAAAAATTTTATAAGTAACAGTATTAACAAATCACATTGTTTTTTATGAAGTGTTTGGGTATTACAGATCGATAAGAATATCTAAAAGGTTAATAATAATATCTAAGTGTTTTAACTTGAACATGTGTTACTAAAAAGTAAGATAGTTGAACTTTTCCATCCATTTATGATATATGTAAGGAAAATCATTTTTCCCTTTTAATTTAATAAGGTATGAAGAATTTTTTTTTTCTAAGGTATGAAGATATTTTCTAGTAATCAAACACTAGAAAATGACTTCCGAGATGGTACCCTTTAATACTTGTATCGTACCAAAAACATCCTTAAATAAATTCATGTTTTAAAGCAAGCTGGATATTTGTGGGCATAACTATTACTGTAGAAGGGTAAACTTTTACGTCATACTTACAGGAAAGATTTCTGCTCTCAGCCATGTTAATGAGAAGCAACAAGAGAACAAAGCTGAGATGTTTGTAGCTTGCTCTGGCCATCTCTGTTGTTTATAAATTGCTCTGTTATTCTTTCCTTTTCCTTTGATTGTTGGATTGATGGATCAATTTGTTAACAATTCCACTGCATTTATAGTGTGAAGTTAGTTTGGATGGTTACCAACTTGAGATGAAAAATTGGACGTTGCAGTTTCCTCCAATTCACAACGTTGCCGACTTCATTGTGCAGCTCATACAATCTACAACTTTGTTTTCTTGTCCTTTTTCCCCTTCTACCCTTTCGGCAATACTCTGGTCACGTCAAACGGTCAAAGTCAGCTTTTTTAAGCTAAACTTTTGGAGATAAGTTTGGCAAATGGGCGGGTTCATAATGGGTCAAGCAAAATATGGGTCACAGCTCAATCCGCCCATATTTATGCGGGTCAAAAACGGACTGGGTGACTAATGGGTTGGGTAAAAAACGAGTTGACCCATTTTATACATGAGTGAGAACCCATTCTATTTTTTGGGAAGAATGTATCACTCAATAAGAAATATAAGAACTATTTTGGTGAATAGAAGAACTTGAAAAACAAACGTACGTCAAAAGCTCGTTGCAATAGCTGAAATTTACTTTTGAAATTATATACAATACAAGATTAAAAATATTCTTCCAGCGCAGGAATATCCAAAACTTAGTTCGCAGTCAGGGGCGGACCTAGAGCATAGCATACGGGTTCCCGGGAACCCAGTAACTTTTATGTAGATCCTGTATTTATATTAAGAAATTCATTAAATATTTGTAAATATCTAACTGTGAACTCAGTTATTATTGCATATTAATCTAAAATTACGGTAGGAACCCATAAGCCTTAAATCCTGGATCAATGTACATATATAACTGATAGATAGAAAGGACAAGTATTGTTAATTTGTTATAATATAATAATATCATCTGAAAATAATCTTATAAAAATTGCGAACTGCATAATTATGGAATTTATCGTAACAAGATAAAAGCATAGAAATATAAACCGGCAAAACACTTGTGATGAACATTTTGTATCTTCTTTATAAAATTGCTTACTGGAGATAAAGTTGAAATGAATACAAATATGGATACCCAGACTTTGCTTTGTAAAGTCAACCGGAAATTCTTGAGACAAAAAAGGAAACAGTCCTACACGGGTCAACAAATACACAGAGAATGTTCAAAAGTCTCATGAGAAAATGAAATATTGCTTTGCTTAGGTAGCAGCCGGAAACCAACATAAATTTGAAACCGCATTCAATCCGTATTCAACCCACATCCAACCCGTTTTTACCCATTTTATTGCGGGTCGGAAACGGGTTAACCCATATTTACCCATATTCAAAATGGGCAGGTTGAATATGGGTTTATTACGGGCGGGTTGGATGGGTCAAGTAAATATGAGCTGAAATTGCCACCACTACATGTAACCAATTTTTGCGGAGAAGCAAAATACGAGCTATTCAATGTCTCAACATGAACAACTACATAGAAAATTCTGCATTTCTGCCCAAACAATTTCAACCAACAAATGGAAGTGATGAATGTTAATTCCTCCCTTTTCCTTTCACCTTTTACAGATCATCCAACATCCAGGACTAGTGTTTACGCTAAAAATTGGATTATAATTGATCTTATAATATGGTTTTAAGGACACGTGATTTCACCTAATATCAGTTGATAAATATGAAGATTAGTAATAGAAATTAACAATAAGATAAAGCAAACCAGTGTTGAAACGTAATTCAGCCCTCGAGCTAGAGTGCCCTCTAACTGGTCGGAACCAAAACAGTTAAGAAATAAGCAAGCTGATGAACAAGAATATAAACTAAAGAGAAAGCATTATATTGCTTTGATATCTCAGAATCCAAGGTGATTACAAATGGTTGAGACCCTCTTTATATAGCAGGGGAATCCTATTTATGGTATAATTCTAATTACAGAAGGAAATCCCATGATTAGCTAAATAATCGTCCATGATTTGATTTGTTCCAAGATTTCCGCCGTGATCCTCGCCCAGTCACGGATGTCTCGCCTTTCCGTTATTATGCTATCTTCGGTCTTGCTCGAGTTCGATCTCGATCTCTACAGGTATCTCGAATCCCGAACTCGGTACCTTTTTCTCGAACCTCGGCCTGACATGTTATGGGGCCGACCTTCGATCCATCCCCCTGGTCTCGGTTAATCAGCAAAATTAGACCAGCCAAATTTTAACTGTATACAGATAGCCCCCTCGTTTCTTGGAGTGTAATGATAAGAAAAGAATTGAGTCTTCGAATTTATCCCCGGTTTATCATTACGTAAGCACCGTGACTTAAGTGGCAGGAGTGAACGAAACATCCCGTCGGTACAGTTTCCCAGGTCATTAATGTATGTCAGTTGACGGCCGGCCACTAGTAACTTCGAACCGCTACCGTGAAACCCATAAATAGGCCCTTTTTTCACTTTTTCAAACTTCACCTTGAATCTTTCCCGTGCTAATCTTCAAAAACCCTTTGCATTCTTCAAGTTCATCTGCAAATCTTCAAGTTTCATTGCTAACTTCTTTTTAAAACACCAATACTATCACCGCCATCCTTATTTAATCTCAACAAAATGGAGAAAACGTTTAAAACCGTTCCACAGAAGGAAAAAGCTTCCTCGTCTAAGTCGGTCGGCAAACAACCAGCTGTGGAACCACGCCCTGAAGAATTCTTTCCTCCGCCGTGTGTCCTTGACTCCGACTTCAAAGTTGAAAAGACATCCTTGGTTCCGGGCCGATGTGAGTCGATGTCGAGGTACATATACACAATCACCAGTAGCCTTTTTAAACCAAGTTAAAAAGGATTGCAACTTGGTAGATAAACATGTGGTGGTGCCCTCGCCTGAAGAGTCGATCACTACTATGTGGAGGTATTTCTAAGTGTTTACACCTACCCGTTCACATTGGGCCCCCTAGATCCTGTTATCATCGACTTCTACAAGAAGTACGAGGTCACCCTCATCCAAATACACCCCTCCTTTTGGAGGATAGTGATACTACTCCATTTTTTTTGCGAGCCAAGTCGATGGGCTCCCTTTTACCCTCGATCATCTTATACGCTTATATAGCCCCCGACTTTACCGAGGGGGCTAATAAAGCTTCAACGTCGGTCCTCCAAGTAGGCTTTCACGAGCATAGATGAGGACATGGATCGGGGTTGGATGGGCCGATTTGTCCGAGTAAAGACCTCGGACCTGATCCCGGCCTAAAGCATGCCATTTCAAGAGAAATGGAATATGAAATGTGAGTACAACTCTAATTTTAACTTCTGTTTTTTATCTTCACTTTTTCATCCTTCCCTACCGGCGTTTTATTTGATGCAGCCATTTCCTGGATGCCGGGTGCAATTCCCCATCTTGAGAACTGGTTCAGGAGCCTAGTGTCGACATCGAAACACGTTGAACGCGCATGGCGCGAGTTTTCGAAGGGTCGATGGGAGGCCCGAAACCACGGTAAATTTTTGCTTGTCTCAACAATTCTGATCGTTATCCGGATTTTCCCTCGATTTTACTTGTCTTTCTTTTACAGGTCTCGAGAAGGATATGCCGATGAGGCCCCCATCAGGTGATGAAGAAAATCTTCCCCAGTCGTTTGTTCAGAAATAGAAGGAAGAGCAGAAAAGGAAAGAGACTTTGAGCTCCATGACTTTGGACGAGCAAAAGCCCAAAAAGAGGCGGTCCCATAGGGGGAATGTCATCCTTTTGACTATGGACTCAGTCCTCAGGCTACGAGAGGAGCCCGGAGAGGGTGAGCAAGAAGAAGAAGATGAAGATGATTCAGGGCTGATAGCCCGTGCACGAAATAGCACCGGGGCTCGGAAAGCTTCGGAACTAGTGAAGATTGACGCTGATCGGTGATAACTAAGGATTTTAGCCTATTATTTGCTCTCTTTTGCTTAGGTTTTGGGTCGAAAATGCGTAAAGATATTTCCGAAAACTGACTTAATGTGCTTGCTTGCATAGTTTGGTCAAAATGAGGCAAAGAAGCCATAATCAACTCATGAAGGAGGCAAACTTGCACAAATCCAAGGCTAGGACTGGAGCACTGACAGCGGCAGAAAAGAGCGGCCGCATAAGGACTACCGCTGACGCGACCATTATTAAGCGGCCCACGAAAGTGGGATTTAGATAGGCTGTTGTTTTTTAGCTCAAGAATCAACGCTGATCGCGATGGAAAAGCGCGGCCGCGAAATCTATGGCGCGGCCGCGGATGGATTTTCGCTAAGAGCGTATATCAAGGTTCAGAGACTACATTTTTGGCTTAAGTGAAGAATGCGGTCCGCGTCCAAATTACGCGGCCGCGTCTGTTTCTCACGCGGACGTGGTGGGAAATGTGCGATCCACGAAGTCAAGCTCTACCCAAGCCCAGTTATGAAGAAACACGGACCGCGCTCATTATTTTGCGGCCACGAAATATCAAGCGCGAACGCGGTCAGAATTGCGCGTCCGCAAATTCTCCGCGTGGGCATTTTTGTCCGGGAATTTCAGCTTAGTTTAAATAGACCTTTTTGACATTTTTAGGTCAAGTTTTTTAGAGAGAACACGTGAACGGCTGGTTTTTACCCTTTTGAGTAATTTTAGAATAGATTTATCTTCAATCTTTGATTTTCATCTTGTATTTGAATATTATGGCTTATATTTCATCTTCATCTTTGATTTCTACTGTTATCATGAGTAGCTAGACCCTATAGCTAGGGTTGTGACCCAACCCTAATGTGAATATTTAATGGATCTTGAATTTTAGGGCTTAATTGTTTATGGGTTAGTGATATTTAGCCTAATTCATGCTTTAATTGTAGAATCGGTGGTTGCAAACACTGATTCGTGCCTTTATGACTTAGACTCTTCTTGAGAAAGAAGGACTAAGTCTAGAAAAATTAGGCTAACAAGAAATTGGGGTGAATTCAAGAGATTGATAGCCCCAATTAAAGGGTTAATAGAGATAGTAATACCCGACTTGAGCCAATATCATTTGTTATGCATGAACACCCATTTGGACTTGAGAAAGCCAAATAGGGCAAAGTTACTCAAACTGTTGAGAGGTATAGTTAGCACTTATGTGTGATGGTTATATCACGTTCCCAATCATAACAAGATTGCCCTGAATTCTCGATACCCGTTAGATATCCACCTAGGCAAAAGTCACTACCCTAGTGCATTTTTAATCTTGAAACTTCCACCAAAAATAGTGTACTTAGCTTAGTCTGGTATATTATAA